AAATGAAAAAATTATTGCAAGACAAAAGGAGTACTATTTATTATTCTCTCTATTCATTTTTAATAATTCTATTTTTTTAATTTTTAAAATTTTTAGACATAAATTTCAAAATAAAAATTTAACAATTTCTATAAATCACAATTAAATTTCTTTACATAAAATTTTTTTGAGTATTTTTATTTAATAAAAAAATTTTAATTATCATTTATATTAATTTTTATTTAAAACTTATATTTAAAAAATAAAAAAAAATAAATTATAATTTTTTAAAATAACCAAAAAGAAAAGTAGTATAAAGGGAAATATTGTGCATATCCAAAGAGGATATATGGGGTGTGTGAAGGTTAGTGGAAGAAAAAGATATTTATGTCAAGGGACAAAAATTCTTCATGGCCCAGCTCCCATGATCCCATCAAATAAATTCTATATCTTTGTTTCCCCATGGAAACAACAAAACATATAGTCAGCCATTCTAATTTTCAAACTAACTTTATTCATAAGGTCTATATTTATGTTTTCTTGTTATTCTCCAAAATCGACACTTGCTCAACAATCCAAATAAAGTGTCCACGAGGGTTCGGTTTTGAACTATTTGTTTGTCGGTTTCTAGATTTAAATCTCACTATCAATCATTTTCTCCTGGATAGATATTACTTAATATCAACATAATTGACCAACAATCTAAAGGATTTATTGTTAATTTTTTTTATATATAAATAAAAAATAAGTATCTTTTATTTTATAATTTTTTTAAAAAAAAATCCAACATATTTAAGTTACCATCTCCTCTAAACGGCATACGACAACAAGAAGTCCAACTTTAGTCCTCATTCACCTTACCCATGTAAAGTATTACACCCCTTGACGGTAACCTATGCCCCACTCCATTCTAATGTGTCGATTAAAGCTAGCTATTGGAGGGTTCATATCTGAACTGGGTTTTCTGTGTTGAATTTTTGTTCTGTGTTTTCCAAACAGATGACATGTAAAGGGGCTGATTACTACTGTTCAAGCATGCAAAGAAAGACTAGGAGAGTGAGGGACTTATGGATTTGGGAAGAATTTTTTAGGTTTGTTTGGTGTTCTTTTGTGAGGAACTGAAGATTCGGTGGTCAGACTAGTAGTTTTGTCTCTCTGAAGCTTTATGCAGTGAGAATGAGCTTTCCTCCGTTCCTTTAATCTTTTGTCATCTTCTCCATGATAACAACAAGAGAAATAAACTCACTCCTCCCACCATTTAATAAACCCTAAAGCAAATACATTGCTACAGGATTACATAGACCAATAATAGTGCGATATTGTAGAAGCAAGTGTGGAAATTCAATCTAGATAGACTAATTTTAATGTCAGTTCAAAGCTGAAAAGAGCATTTGATCCCTATTTATTATCTTTAATTTCTTCAATTTCTAGGGGCAAAATGATCTCTCCAACACGAAACTGGCATTATAGTTCAAACCACAAAACATTTTTCTGTATAAAACTAGGCAATATTGCAATAATATATAGTATGGGAATTATCATTTATTCATAATACCCTTCATCCATGAACCTGTTATTTTGACATAAATAGAGAAAGGCTTTGCTTTGTCCCTAAATTTACGCTGATAATCATTTCATATGACTTACTAAATGTCTTTGGGAGCTGTAAAGCTGTTGCCTTTCCTGCTAAATCATGAAGATTGGAGATATATAATAAGATGATTTGAAACAGAAGAAATCCAATAATGCATAGATTAACCATGCGCATATCTGCTCATACAGATTCCACTAATTTCGCTCTAAGCCATTATATCGAATAATGCTGTCTTATTATGCACATTATAATCATTATAGTCCATAATTGTAGAACCATTTCCATGGGAAAAAGTTTTATTCTCCTTGTGACATGGTTCTGTTTGTGTTTTCTCATTTTTTGAGGCGAATACAAGTCATAAAGGAAAGGGCAAACTAAGGTGCGGTGTATATGACCGTAGATAAATGAGAAAGGTAAGATCCATCATTACAAAAGAATTATGAGTGCAAAAGGACAATCTACTTGAGTTCTCTGCTACCCCACCCAGACACAGCACAACCAAATCAGACTTCAGAGGTCCTTTCTTTTTCCTTATAATTTTCCCAATTTACAAAAGACAATGCATTAGAACGCTAGCCCCACTTTAAAACTAAGCCTCCATTTTGGACCCCAACATGCCAATGCAAAAAACCCATTTCACATCTAGCCTCGTTGCACCTTAATTTCAAAAGGAGGATAAAGTGACATTTTCTTGGTCGTCCGCGCATAGGGATACAAAGGCGAATGTTCCAAGTAAACTTCACAGTACATATATGGCATCCTTTAATCTTTCCCTTTTATCAACGGAGAGATACAGGATACCTCTCCTCTTGATCCCTTTTGATCAATTATCATGGAGTACTTTTATCTGTGTTCCTTAATTTATACTATAGGTTATAATATATAGCAGAGTTTCTCTCCACAGATACTAGTTTCTATATCCCTCTATCAAAGAGATAGATTCTTAGTCTTGTTTTGACATGGTTACTCTGATTTTTAGTAATTAGACCACACATGAGCTAGATCTATCATAAGACACTCGTACCCACTTAAATTCCATTAGGGGAAAGAAAAAAAAATATATATATATATATATCATAACTTTAAGAAAACCTATGCAATTATATAATAAATGTTAAGTGAAGGAATCCCAAGAAAGAATTTAGAGTTTGGCATGTTACTAAAGCAAAGACAAAAACATGGAAGCATACGACAATTGATTTCGGCAATGGCATACCTTCTTAGGAATTTACATTTTATATTCCAAACAGAGATGCTATAAGTGCCTGGCTGATCTTTACTGTTCACTGACATGCTTTGAAATCTACAATAAAAAGAGCTCACCCTATTAATTTTTATATAATAGAAAATGCATGAAAATCATCAGTACAAATGGGTTTTCAAATGGGTAGGGATAAGGAAAAACAAAAAAGGAAAAGATGGTCTTTGCTTTTGGCCCCCGCCCTTTTTCTTTTTAAATGTTAAAGTGGAAAGACCCATGAATTATGCAAGGAAAGGATGTGCACGAAAGAAAGGGAGCGTATATACGAAAAAAGATCCAAACCATCCCAATCCCACCCACCCCACCCCCTTCTCCGCTCCCTTTTTCTAAGAAATTTCATTTTTAGTAATGAAGCCCAGCCTGTTGATTTCAGTGCTACAAGATCATACCTGCTTGGGTGCTTTAGTCTCCATTTTACTGGGCTTCTCCTGTGGCCTTTGAGTCTTTCAGATGGGCCAACTGAGGAAACAAAGCCTGTTTTAAATCTTGAAGAATGGGTTTTAAAGGACTGGACCAAAGAGAAATGGGAAATTCCCTTTGGGTACACGTCTATTCTTCCTCTTCCTCTTTGGTTGTTAGCCATATACAAAGGAGCAATCCTCCTTTCTTCAAGTCTCTGTGTCCAGGGACCTCTAAAGGACTTTACATGCAAGCAGATAAGCCAAACGGTGTTGAGATCCTTTAATATTTCAACGACTCTTTAAGATAAAGGATTCTGAATCTTCAACTTTACTCTAGGGTGGAAGTTAATCTTTCTTGCTAAGTTGCACCAGTTTAGTCACTGCACTTAATTTTTCTGCAATTGATGGAATTAGCTTAGCTACTTGATCACATAACTGAGCTCCAAGTCCACTTGTAAGTTCTCCTGCAGAAGCCACGGTTACTAAGTCTGAAAATAATTGCAAAACACTGTCAGCAGCGGTCTCCAAATTCACTAACGCCTCCCTACATGCGGTGATTTTATCCTCCAGTTCATTTCCTCCAGGAACAGATTCCTCCTGTTTAGTCCTATCTTTTAATTCCACGTTTGATGAATTTTCTTCGACTGCACATTTCTCTGTTTTGTCTCCTGAGAAAGCAGGAAGTGGGTCAAGCAAGCATTCTGCCAAGTTTGGGTCCTGCAATGAGCATCCATAGCTGAAACATGTTAGCATGGAGACTTATGGGTGTCTTTTAACACTGATCAGGCATGCATGTTTATCTATGAGCTGTAAGATAGCTAGTAGAATAAAAAATGAGAAAAATATAAAAAAAGGGATCTAATTTAAAAGACTAAAGGACCTAAGAAATTACTGTGCTTTATGTGTTTGGAAAACCAATGTCTAACTACCAACTGAAGAATAGTTGTTTATACCCTCGCTTTTCTAAAATTCCCCCTTCAGGTACTAAAAATCCAAGTCAAGGATTTTAACAACGCAACATGGATGTACTTGCCTTTTCATTAGAACCTATCACTAACTGTTCTTCCAAAACCTGGAAAGCTGGACCATCGGTTTTATTGTTGATGGCAGATTCACTCTTATAGTTCGACATCCCTGAATTTATGTCAAAGAGTCTCTTGCAGCTGGCAATATAGTCTCGCTGTACAACATACTGTGAAGAGAATCTTCTTCTCGCAGATGATTTCTTCTTCTCAACCTGTAAATAGGAAGTGCTTATGTGAATACTCTTCAAAAGGGAAACATTCTAAATACATTTTTCTTACTCTGCCTATTGAAATAAAATCTTTTTAAAAAATTCAGCAATAATTGATATGCTACAAATGATTTCTAAGTTCAAAACTACAGTTTGATACAAGACATCACCCCAACCATTGAAGCAGGGACCTTGAATGGTCACCATATATCATCTCAAGGCTGCAGAAAGCGCTAGGGGATGGTGGGCAGTTGGCCACAGCCTAGAGCCTAGAGTGCCTTGGTGGTTTTTTTTTTAATAATAATTTTTTGACATAATTCTAAGAGAATAAGAAAAAAATATAAAATAATTTTAAAAATTATAAAATAAATAAAAAAATAAAACATTTTTTATTCATTATTATGTTTAAAGAGCAGAATTTAAAGGAATTACTTGACATTTCATGTGTTTTTAATATAATTTTTATAATAAATTAAACGACATCATTTCATTAGACAAAAAAGAAATGAAAAACATTTGCTCAAGCACTCTAGATGCTATTAAACATGCCTAATAGTGCCTGAATGTACTTAATTGATTTGGGTGGAGCAAACCGCATTGAATTTCTGCGGGCAGAATGACACCACCTAGAGTTTAAGCAATGCCTAGGCACCGCCTAGGCGAGCTTTTTACAATACTGTATCATCTTTAATCTTGGCTAGCTTACAACTTAATATGGTCAAAAGGGATTGGAGAGGAAAAGTAACAGAATGAAAAATGAATGAATTAACCCAGTGTAAATAGGGTTCACAGATCCTCTCCTATAGTCCTGAAAAAGATTATAAAAGCAAACCCTGGAAAGTCATTTCTACTTGTGAGCAAGAGAACCAACCTTGAGTTTTGTTGATAGACTGCCAAAATGCTCCTTAAACAAGTCACTACCTTCAGAATTTATTTGGAAGACATCAACATCCATTTTTCCTTCAACCTTGGTTTTATTAGAATGCAACTGCTCTGTTGCATCAGTAACTGCCTCGCTGCACACATTTGTCTTCTGCATTTCCAGCTGATACTGACTACTCTGGAGAAGGTCAATATTATGTGGATAGGCATCTTTTGTGGCATCCCTCTTATCATCTATACCATGGTCCCCATGCTGAAATGAGGGTTCACCATCACTTGGCTGCCCAACTTGATCTTGCGCTAGATGAAAAGGTCAATAACAAATTTAGATCAAACAATCAACTAAAATGACCTTCACTATCATCTCTATAGACAACCAAACCTATAATACTCCTTGGAACATGCATCTCATTAGAAGCTCCTCTATGGTATGAAAAGCATTGCAGTTTCACATGAAAAAAGCAGCATGCAAAATGTCTCGTGCAGAAGAAAATATTGACACAAGAACATTCAGCTACACCCATTACTAATGCATGGGACAGTTTTTAGAGAAAAAATCATCATGGGATTCTTTGTTTGACTATTAGGGAAACGTGAATAATCTGATCCATTTGAACGTCCCAAGATGTTTTCTAAAACCAATTGGTTGCATTTAAAAAAAACCTCACTATGATTGTCATTATTTAAAATCTTCATGTTCATCCTGAAACGAATAGAAATTTCAAAACAATAAAGAGCTAGATGAAATTAGTTTCTGGAATGTCTCATATTTTTGTAAGCCATACTGCCATTATTCAACAGAAGTAGAACAAACTCTGATATTAAGAAGGAAATTGACCATACACAAATTCACGGAAGATACTGGCTTTTTCATGTCCTCCAAATTTTGCACCTCTGGAGAATTCAGTAGATCCAGGCAAACATTATAAACAGTGAGCCAGCGGTTGTCCATGGCAAAGTTGCTGAAATGACAATCAGATACCATGGGATTGGAAACTCGCAGAGAATGCCCCGTCATTTGTTGAAGCAGAATAATGGATAAAAGTGTCGAATTTTTACCTGATTCTTTCATGAGGAGATGCTGAAACTTGGCTATTATCAGTCTCAGGAGAGCTTCCACAAAATCTATTAAGGCCCACCTTTTTGTATACTGAAACATGATTAGATGGAGTTTGATCTTCAGGGCTAACAGAAGCTGAAACCCTGCCTTCCTCTCCAATTAAAGGTGAGGAAATTTCCAGTTCCACTTGCTTCTGCAAGAGGTATAATGAGAGGCAAGGAAAGCGGAAAGATAAACCAAACATAGGTAAATGGCAGAACAGTTGAAAAGCAGAAAAGAGCTTTGGGGATCAAAAACATGAGCTTACAAGTACTTTTTTTCCAAAAATTCACATAGAAAAAGAAATTATTTCAATCTAAAAACGTAAGTTCCTTGTTGGCTGAGACTCGAGAGGAACAAACGGCATTTCAATCAATCAAATCTTGGAACCTTATCGGTGTACTAAGGGGCAAAGTAGTTATAGCATCATAAATTACTATCGTGGCCACTCTTTCTCAGTGTACTCATTGGCAATTGCTGCAGAAAATGGCACATTATATGGATACCTACTACAAAGAGCAGACATAAATCCAACTATTAACCCAGAAATTAGCTAGTTCACTTAGTTTTTGTATAAAAACACAACAAGAGTGGATGAGGATGTTATGAAGGGGGAACATAGGAAATCAAGAACAATTTCTCTCTTTTTTCCTCTTTCACTAACCCGATGCATATTTAGATCTCAAAGTCTACCATAAAGGATACCTGGGATAGAGTGAACTCAAGATTCCTTGGAGCAAAGTCAGGGCTTGTTATTTTTGCCCGTGCCCATTTTGGAAGTCTTGAAATGGTAAATTTAAATGCAGAGGTCTCTTGTGAGTCCCCTCCTTGATGATGCGCTTGTTGTTTCTCAAGAGACATCACACTTTTGGGATTAGTTTTGCCTGACTGGTCTTCCTCTTCACGAAGTACAATTCCACTAAAACAGACCGGCTGAGTAAAGTTTCTGGGAGACAGTGGAAAGGAATTTTCTTTCACTTTATGCAACATCCTAGAAGCCAAACGACCAGGCAGTTCCCATACAAAAATACAGCCGTCACCACCTACCTGAATGCAATAATTGAAGTTATAATAAGTCAAAGGTTGCATAAGGGTAAAATGCTACTATATCACAAATCATATGTTATTAACCTGAATGAGAAAGGAAGCTCGAAAATGTGTTGCCTAAAATTAGTGCATAAGCTATCAACTTATCCACGCTGTTAACAATGAAAATGAAGAATAAGAACAACTCACAGAAACCATATGCCTGCAGTCTGGTAGGAAAATCACACCAGTCACAACTTCTCCGTGCCCTAAAGCTTGAGCAACTATCTCTCCGTTCACAAAGTCATACATGCAGATGGATTTGTTAGAATAAGAGCAAACTAAGTAACTGCAACTTGGATCCACAGTAACCTGTCCAGAAATCTTTGGTATCAGAATGATGCCATATTGATTGATGACAGAGCACGTGTTGCTGATTCTTAACTCATAACTTACCTTTATTGGGTCACCAAAGTCTTTATCTTGCTTGAATGATCTAATAAGCTTTCCAGAAGCAATGTCAAATGTGTTTATCTTCTTATCCTATGAGTAGAATGACCAAATAAGCAAATCGTATCAATAAAATCATATTAAGAAGCTAGTAAACGTTACTTTGTTTTCTTTTGGTCCATCATGACAGCAGAAGAAAACTGGGTACCCTTCCAAGCCACAGTTAGAATAAGATTTATTTATTCCTAATAACTATTACGATAGCAATTTACCTGGCCAACCGTGACAACAACTTCCATTTCGGGGTCCATGGACATGTCATAGACAGTTCCATTAGAGGCCATTTGATGGTGACGGCGAAGAATCATATAACCACTGTCCATTACACTGACATCACGGAAAACCAGGGACCTGTGGGAAGAAAAGCCAACGTGAAATACACTACAAAGGAATTATTATAGTGTAGAGATTTACTTTTCCTAGTAAGATTCTCTAATAACTACGATTATTTCCCTAGTTTTTGTTTGGTTTCTCAAAAGCAACCAGACATGTAACAAATTAAGGCCACTGATCTCATTTCCACATGACCTCCAATGAGTCCAGAACTCACTAATAAACTTTCTGATATAGATCTTGAAGCTCAAATGACAATTGAATTTGTATAACATACCTATCGGCACTACAACTCAGAATCTTACATCCATTGTAAGCTAGTTTGACAGAAGTAACAGCAGCTGAGTGGTCATCGATGCTTTCAATGAGATCAAAATTCCTGTCTTGGAGACAAACCTAATGAGGATGTGAATCCAACAATCTAAGAGGCAGATTAAAATAGAGTTAAAGAATTTTTTTTGCAATTTAAACCTTTTTACATCAAAAAGATGGATTGCCCTATCTCGTCCTCCAGAAACGAGCAGGTAATGGTTGTTGCTTTCTTCAAAATCAGCACATTTCTTGCTTGTAAAGCTGAAGCTCAATGAGAGAATCTCTGCATCGTGAGCATCCTGATAAGGTAACAAATAGCTCCCATTAAAAGATGGACAAATTCAAACGCTAGTTGGAATACTGGATCAAAAATCTTCCTCGCAATATTGCATTTTTTCCTCTTCCAATTAAATATCTAAAGGTGTCAATAAAAAAAAAAAAAAAACAAACATGCATAGGTTACCTTAAGGCACGTATAATCAGCATTGTGTAGGTCATAGATATGAAGGTTCCCCTCACAGTCACCAGCTGCCATGTACTTTCCATCTGAACTAACTGCCAATGAGCGAAACCCTACATTGCTAAAATTTGCCTCTATGGTATCACGTTCAAAAGTTCCAGCACTAACTGCAGTGAGAATTAGGAGTAGTCAACTAAATAGAAGTTGAAACTTAGAAATAGGAAGTAAATGAATTTGAAATAAGTTGTTCCTGATAATTCCCATAAGGTCAGCAAAGTTAGGCTAAGGGTTGAACATACATGCACATTTGCACATGAATGTTTCATAGATTGAATGTTAGGGCCTCAAAAAACAAGTTACCTAAACAAATACTGCCCAATGGTTCAGTAGTCAAAGAATTGCAGTCCATGATTCCCTTTGATGAATCAGGTTGTAGGAGAAGATCCCATAACCTAATAGTGCCATCAGCTGAACATGTTGCAAAAGAAACACCTCCAGAACATCCTCTAGCAGCACATGCAAAAGAAGGATCATGCATGTTTTCACAACAGAGGTTCTTGATATCCCATATGCAGGCAGAGTGTGAAATGAGTGCACAACACCTTGTAGCCTGAAAAAAACCGAAACAAGTTCTAATTCATTAACTGACTCTAAAAACTGAAACAGATTGACTGATCAATTTTTAACAGAAACAAATTGACTTCATCAAACAAGTGCAAAGTAAATGGCGTATAATCTTCTATAAAGTGATTACCTTGCTAATGTCATGAATATCCCATATAGAGAGACTATGATCTCCATAAACAACCACTGCAAGAAGAAAAATGAACATTATAAGGGGGAAAAGAAAGATGAAAGGCCATTATCAAGACAACTCCATGAGCTATACACTTACCAAGCTTTTCAGAGGTGGAGAACTGACAAGCAATTGCATCAGGAAGAGTAGGCAAAGGCTGAAAACTCTTCTCACTGGCTTTGGGGCAGTGAAGATCATTTTCCCCTTGACAATGTTTGGCTGCTGAATGGAGCAGACTTCCCACATATTTGAGATTTTCAACAGTAAAGAGTTGCACTACTCCATCACTGCATGCACAAGCAATGAACTTACTGGATGCAGATAGTGAATATCCTCTTTTGACCTGAAAGTTAATTTCTGAGATTGATGAAACATGGTCTCCATAACAAATAGTGAGCTGCAAAGTTCTCTACAGTTTAGATAACCATGATCACACACACTTTTAGAAACTTTTGCCGAAATGATCAAGTTCTCTAGCTTTTCCTTTTAGACAAATTCCATTTAGTATTTTAGGTATCCCATTGACAGGATCTTTGCAATGTGCAAACTATGCCTTACATGACGGTTCATGGTACACCCTAATCAACCATCTAATTCGTTACAGCCGAATTGGAACTCTCACAATCACAAATTTTGAGTCTACACTCTGGTAAATGATAAGGCCTTCACTCTCCAACAAGCACTTCCTAAGTCCTTCTAGATTTTGTGGCCCATTTAATCTTTTGGACCTATAAATAGTTCCATGTTACTTACTTGAGCAGCTACTCTAAAATCTATGATGATTTGGAAAAAAAAAAAAAAAAAAAAAAAAAGGAACAACCCATGATGATGTAGGATTGAAAGCCAAGCATACCTTTAAATCAACTGAATTTCTCACCGACAGCCCATAATCTATAAGGCATAAAACTCCTGAAAATCAAAATAAACACATTTGGACTGAATTGACCATAATCCAAAAACTCCAACCAACTACATTTCATATACCAATTGTAAGTCAAAGTCCAACCTGCATCAGTCAGAGCATAGATATGAAATGGTCCACTCTGGCCACAGTCCATAACACTATTATAAGTCCAGATGGCAGATGTGACAGATACAAATGAGCTCCCCTTTTGAGGACCAAGATCAACATGTTTTCCATGCAAACCCATTGACACTGTCCTTTTGTTTGTTTTAGTCCGTGGAGAAGTTCCAAATGTCCAGAATTTTAGGTGGTTTTTCCCAGCAGTTACAATAAATTTTGCATTTGATGAGAAGCTGACAGATGTAACTGCAGAACAAGATGAACTTGCTTTAAGCTTCGTAACCAACATTCCATTCCGCCAATCCCAAAGGTAAATATATCCTCCAATGGACACCAGATGCTCCCCTAAAAAAGAAAATTAAATATAAGAACAAGAAGAAAGAAGATACCACAAACACTAATATAAAGGAAAAACCGTAACAATAAACAAGTTGTGCAGTCCATTGTAGAGTAGTGTTACCGCTAACTCCTTCAAGAAGGAAACAATAGGTCATGTTTCAACTTTAGGAGCTAGTGGAGATGGATGAAGGGATTTCCAGTGGAATCCAATCCAATTAATTGACTAAAAAATTTTAAACTAAAAATGTGCAGCAAACTAAGATAAATGTTTCAATTGCTCAATTATAAGTCTGAAACTAACCGTCAGGTGAGAAAGCAATGCACTCAACTCCATATAGATGGCCTTTTAGTTCACATAAAAAGGAAAGTGTTGTGCAGTCCCACACTAACACTGCAGGTTGATGTCCTGACTGCAAAACCGTATTAGATGCGCGGAGACTATAAACATACCTTAAACAAAAGCCGCAATTTTTTTTTTTTCTGCAAATCTTAGTCAAATAAATACAAACGGAAGAATTAGCTAAATAAAGATGAAAGCAACGGTGCAACCAACTTTCAATTTTCATCAGACACAATCATTTTCCTAACTTAATTAATAGACGGTCTAATTCTTGATTGGTTTTTTCTTCACTTTCGCTGAAAGATAGGTGACGGACTCGAAGAAGGAATCATTTTGGGCCACAAGAAGTAAATTATAAGGAGAAACATTGATGAAATTTCAGGGTACAAAAATCTCTAGAAATCAAAGAATTCATTAAAAATTTATAAAAATCAAAGAATTTGTTCATATTTACTGAAACATAAAAATAAGTAAATAAAATTTTAAAAAAAAAATCGTGAATTACACGAAATAAAAAATGGTAAAAGTAAATGGATTGGTACCTCGCCGGCTGCTACAAACCGGCCATCAGCCGACATAGCGAGACAAGTTAGTGGTTTAGGTGTTCGGTGAGTGACCATTAGGTGCGACTGCGTGCTGGAGTCAACATTGTAAACTACCACTACGCATCCCGCCACATAAGCGCACCTCGAGCTGGATACACTCGACGCCAATCCGTTCCCATTCTTCGTTGTTAATCCGATAATCTCCTTCAAAATCAGCTGCAATGCAATCAAATCGGAAATTGTTAAAATCGATTTCTCCGGTTTTAAACTTCCTTTTACAATTACATTAGGGTTTCAGTAGCTGGATTTAAGCGTGCCTTCGACGATGCGTCTGGTTTCTTGAGCTTGCGATTCGCTTTCATCTTCGATGATCCGGAGGCGAAAGCTGAGAGCTCGGAGCAGGAAGGCGAAATTGAGAGACAGAACCGATAAATTTAGAAGTGCAGGATAGATTTAGTGAAACGTCGGAAGCGGGAAATCTGTGGAAGTCAATTTAAAATAATTTTGAAAAATGCGTTGATTTGGCACAAATTTTAACCGGACGACTTGCATTGCAACGGATTATTTCACATTTTCACTTAATAAAAATAGAGTATAAATTAAAGATTAATTTTTATATTTTTAACATAAATTTATAAAAATATAT